ATACATTAACTGAAAATAAATAAATAAATAAAAAACAGAATTGCGAGATGCAAACTCAGAGTTAAGAGAAAACAGTCCAAATCGCAAGTTTTGAATTGCAATTCTGAGGTTACAATTCAAAGTATAAGTATAATATAAACTTTTCAGGCCATGTCTGAAAATGATTGTGGCACTTGGGTCATTCCAGTGTGGAAAAATTACGGTCATCCAGATGACTGTCGCCTGTTAATGTCATTAATGAGCAGGGTTAATTAGCACCTATGTATCAGTATAAACATCAGTCAACTGAGCAATTACCAGCTTTGTTGTTAATGAAAGAGTCATGTTGGGACACAATCAGCACACCTACTCACGCTGACATATCCAAATCCCAGAAGAATCCACAACGTGAAGATGAGACAAGAAACAGAAGTTTAATTATATCCACCTGAAGTGGGTTTTTACTCTATCCAGAGGATTCATTGAATGTAAAAAGCAATTACATTTTATCCAGCATGCTGGACTTTTTGTAACAGAGATACTAAAAATATAGGAAAAACACATTAGACCAACTATTTCCCAAACAACATATTTTTCATATTCTTCAGTGTTGCTGATTTGTTAAGGCTCTGTATGTTCCCAGCATGCAGTGCAGCATGAATAAATGATATGTTACTGTTTTAAATTGCTGTTACTTAAATTGCTCTTACTGTTTGATATCGAGCAATTGTTTCATTTGTGTTCTACATGTGTCTATATAAAACTACTGAACATAATATATTTGATTGCAAAATGTTTTTCTTTTTCAGAGGCTCACTTCATATTTTAAGCTAAATAAAACATACAAAAAAAAAACCACAAGAATAAAATGCTAATTGGTCATTTTTGGAAAAAAAAAAGTAAATGTATTGTGCTGCCTTGATTTTTTTTTTTACTTCTCAATTATTTTTTTACAAAGAAAACTGTGAAAGCAACACAAACAGCTTGGTGTCTTATGCACTAACGTCACCACCAAGCCACGAGGAAGTGTCCTCTTGCCATTAATGGGACACAATAATGAAAAAAGCACTTAATCAGGGTTATTCAGTGCTTTTGATGAGGTCATTAAAATGTGTTATTTAAAGCCAAGCCGTTAACAATCACCAATCAACAATCAGCCGGTTAACACATGATAACAAGACTTGTGGATTCACACCTGTGAAAGAAGACGATGAACAAAAGAACCAGACACGGACAAGTGAAGGAAAAGACCAAACATTTGTCTGCTGGCCAAAACATATTAACAAAATTGAGAGGACGTGTCATAGGTTCAGATGAAACATTGTGTTATTCAAATACATGAAGAAAGCTGCATTTGTACTAGCTAGAGGAAAAAAATTAGGAAATAATAAGTTTAAATATTAGAATAAAAAAAATTTAAGTTTAGATTTATTAATGTTTAGATGTTCAAAAAAAAAAATGTAAAAATTATTTAATTCACTTTCACAGTAATGTAACAGTTAAAGTGTCTCAAGTTTTAATATAAAGACAAAAAATTGTATGGCAAAAAATGTATTACTGGTAGCATTAGTAAGACGAGAATCAACATTACGATTACAATTAACATTAAGAAACTATTTTACTCACATGAAAATAATTTAGTTAAAATGTTTACAAAAATGTTCAATATCTATGCAAAAATACATGAAAATAAAGTGTCTGGCTTTTTAAAATACATGTATGTAAAAATAAACGTTTTAAGCGACAACAGGGGAAGAAAACGAGTAAAAGAAAAAAATGTTAAGCAAAAATTAGTCAAGTCACCACAACACTCAAGTAGGAATTTGTGTCCACCTGAAATGTGTTGTTAATTCTCTTAAAGAGACCGACAGAGAGCTACAATTATCCACCCCCGCTCCCTGCTAATAGTCCCAACACAGATAACTAATTAGCTACATTACAGTCATTTCCATTTTAATGCTTTGTTTGCTGCCATTGTTTAAGAACACAATGGGAAGAATTGCAAATGGGAGAGAACTGGTGAGACTCAGCTAATGAAACTGGCCATACACTGCCCTACCCTCGGGACAAAGACAGAGAGAGAGAGAGAGAGAGAGAGAGAGAGAGGGCTCTGACTTATAAATGGGACCATTGATAGTCATTTAATTGGCAGATATATGACAGTTAATGAACTAGGTCTCAGAAGCGAGGACACACTGACGTCTTCATGATTTCAGAATAAAATTGCTTGATTGAAGTTTGATAATGTAATAAGCCATCAGAAGGTTCTGCTCCTCATTTCTGTCCCAAACTCAAATTCAAATCAAATTCCACCTCCAGTATCTTTTTCTTCCTCAGCACCTTTCTATAATCTTTAAAGTGTTCTTTTAGTATTAACAATATGTTTACATGAATTCATTCAGCAGATACTTTTGTTCAAAGTGACTAACAAGCAATTTGTCACGTGAAATAATGTAAAGGTAAACACGATGTTTAAACTGCAGATGACACCTGGCTGGAACATGATATGCTACATATGTCACACATATTCATGCCTTGTAAATGTGAATCTCAGGAAAGCTGTCAAGAACATGTCTGGGTCATATTTCACCAAATATTCAGAAGAAGGAAGAAAACAACACTCAAAAATCTAGATAGATAGATAGATAGATAGATAGATAGGTAGATAGATAGATAGATAGATAGATAGATAGATAGATAGATAAAAGTTCCGTTTATACATCATGACATTTGTTGTACTTTTTTACTGTCTCTAATCAAACAATTAATTAAATCATTGTATTATAGCAATTTTTTTTTACTGTATTATTGTAATGAATGAGAGTTGAATTAAAAAAATTATTTAAACTGTAATGCATTTATACATCATGGCATTTGTTGTACTTTCTTTAATTAAACACTTAATGCAATCATTGTATTATAGTATTTTTTACTGTATTATTGTAATGATTGGAATTAGAATAAATAACAAACAAATAAATACATAAAATATTATTTAATTTGTTTTTATACATCATAAATGTTTTTATACTGTACTATCTTACTGTCCTTAAACAATTAATTCAATTATTATACTACAGTATTTTTTGTACTACAGTATTATTGTAATGAAACTAATGAGAATCGCCATCGAAAATGATAAGAATTACAATAACTAAATAAGTAAATAAGTTAATAAATAAAAGTAAAGTGTCCAGATGCATTGTGTTAATTAAAAAGTTACATTTTCAAAAGAAGATAATGTGAATTGGGAAGAAAATGGATTTAACTGTCATGAAAAGGAAATGGCAAAATAAATAAATAAATAAAATAAAAATCTATCTATCTATCTATCTATCCATCTATCCATCTATTCATCTATCTATCTATCTATCGTCTGTCTGTCTGTCTGTCTGTCTGTCTGTCTATCTATCTATCTATCTATCTATCTATCTATCTATCTATCTATCTATCTGTCTGTCTGTCTGTCTGTCTATCTATATAGGGGTGAAATATGATCTGGACTTGGTTATTTTAGATTCACCTATAAATACATGAAGCACATTGTTTTGTTTTTATATAATTTACACTTACTGTTCAGAACATATGTATGGTCGGAGAATGTTGTTGTTATCTGAGGTTTTCTCTGGTTGAAGTCATGAGGTTTTCAGTGTGAGGTAAAGTCAGAAATCAGGTATGTGAGGAATGCTGGTGACGGCACTAATCTCTAATCCCCCTCTGAGTGCAGACACCGGAGGACCTGGGTCACTTACTCTGACTGCCATATATGTGTGTGTGTGTGTGTGTGTGACTGTGAAAGAGAGAGAGAGAGAGAGATGAAGGATGTGAAAGAGCAAAGTGAACAGAACTTGCCTCGGCTAACCTGCTTCCTGTACCTCTCGCTTCTGCTGACCAATCAGCTTTGAGCTCACCTTTATGCTAGTTTACTGACCTACACTCACTTTTCTCAGTTCCCACACACAGTGTGTCATATATAAAAATTTTATGTTAATGAAAACAAGGCTGTGCAAATAGACGTATGATGTTCAATGGAACATTGTGCAATATCTAAAATTCTCTAAAAGCTTTTTTCTCATGTGCATGTTAAAGTAAGTACGGCATCTATTCTGACTGGGTCTATTGCATCCGTAAAAATGAAGCTGAGGTAACCCAGTTTACCACAGCGCTGGTCAGCGGGGGATTTCAACCGCCAGCACACTAACAAGAGCCCTTTAATTTCTTGTGTTGGAAGATTTGGCTTTGAGTTTTGACATGGCTTGTGGTCCCCTAAAGACTTTGAGGATTACGAGGGCCACCCAAGAGGACCGAGGGCCGGGAGACGAGCGGAATACATGAATTAGCAAAAACCACCCTGGAAAAATCTAAGATACAGATGGAGGCCGAGAATACGCCACCTAATGAGAGGTCAAAGGTCAAACAAAACATGTAGCATATGACTGCAAGAGATTGGCTCAATTAGTCTCGCTCTTTTTCAGCCTGTTTTAAACTCTAACACAAAACAGTACAGTTTTGCTTTAAAATATGAGCTATAGCATATGAATCAACCAATCTGTGCAAATGCATATCAGTCTCACAATTATGAATGAGAGTTTTGTTGCTCAAGAGTGAAATCACATCATTAGCATTAGCTGACAGCTTCTGCCCCCTATTGGTCCCAAAATATATAGTATTTGAAACTTAAATTTGAATGTCATTGCTTTAGATTATAAAATAGCACAAGAAAGTGGCACTAATTTTAAAGAAAGATACATCAAGCACACTTTTGAAGTAAAAGATGCCATGAAAATACGTTTGTTTTACTCTAAGAAAAGTCTACAAGTCTGAAAAAAATGTCCCAATGAGATCCACCTGAGAACGAATCACTTATTCAATGTGGAAAAAGTACTTACTTCAGCAGAAAAAATTTCAACAAAAAACGTGTAAACAAATTCAAAGTAATCAATGTTTATTATATATGTACGAGTAATAATTCTAAATTCTAGTATGAAAAAATCAACATGTCCATCTTGTGGCACATGTGCTGTGTATGATTGCTTACAGGCTGATTCAAGCTCATCATCAGAGTGTCTGTGGTTCAGTGGGCTGATGGCCTTTATTCCCACCAATCGAATTACATCCATAAATCCATTCCTGTTATTGAGGCTCCACTCCGCAAAATCCAATACAGCCACTTCACTCTCATCTCCATCCCTCTCGTCCTCTTTGGGTGCTGATGAATATAAACAGCTTAGATTGGAGGAGAGCAAGTGTTAGCTGTGGTTTTAGTGTTTAGTGCTCTGAGAGGTTTAAACAGTAAGTTGCATTGGCTTGAAGAGGAGGAGATGGATCACTCACTGAAAAATGAATGGGGAAAATCACAGCACTAAATATGGAGGCTGTAAAAAAGGAAGAGTCTTCAGTCAGATTCTCTTAGTTCAAAGAGTTAATTGCCATTTTTGATACAGGGGCATTGTTTGATTTTTATCATATATATCCCGATTTGCCTGTTTTTTGTTTTTTTTAATGGAGTCAGTAAGATTTTTTTTTTTGAAAGAAATTAATTATTTTATTTAGCAAGGGTGCATTAAATTAAATAAAGTCAAACAAATGCTGTTCTTCTGAACTTTCTATTGATAAAAAAAATCTATCACAGTTTCCACAAAAATATTAAGCAGAGAAATTGTTTTCAACATTGATAATAATCAGAAATGTTTCTTTAGCAGCAAATGAGCATATTAGAATGATTTCTGAAGGATCATGTGACACTGAAAACTGGAGTAATGATGCTGAAAATTCAGCTTTGCATCACAGGAATAAATTACAATTGAAAATATATTCTAATAGAAAACAGTTATATTATTTCACAATACTACTGTTTTTACTGCATTTTTGATCAAATAAATCCAGCCTTGGTGAGCATAAGAGACATAATTCAAAAACATTTAAAAAATCTTACTGACCCCAAAACTTATTTTATAAATTCTGTATGTATAAACTATTCATATAATTGTATATTTATACATTTAAAAAGTTCTAAGCCTTGAACTAAGTTGAACCCAAGATTAATCACAACATTAAAATCTTCGAATTAAAGCAAAACACATGAAAATTTGAAAAAAGACAAAGGTAAATGATACTTAAATTAAGAACACACTACTCTTCCCATGAAGCTATGTGAATGGCATAAATAAATCAAATTATGAATTACATGAATGAAAAACGAACAACTGACTTACAGTCATCGTTATATTAAAAAAAAAAATGGTATGGTATGGTCTTATGTCTCTTCATGAAAGTGGACAGCCATTGCCAAGCTCTTTAAATGTGATTTATGCTTTAAGGATAGTAGCTTTTTTCCAACATTACTGAAGAATTTGGCTACTATTTTTAACTTGTTTTGGCCAGGTATAATATGTTTATGAATTTAGGCATGTTATTAAATTAATAAAAGTAAACATATCAAGCATTTGTTTACAGAGAGCTTATGACTTACTAGATAAGTCTATTTTAACAAATTACAAATGTTAATGGCACACTAAGCTCCTAAAGTGAATCTTACATCGCAAATGCAAAGAAAACCTCACAAACTGCTGATGCAACCCAACCCAGGTTTGGTTCCGCGGCAAGCAGTGCATCTAATTAAAAAGTGTTAACGGTTAAAGTCCTGAGCAGAAATGCAATCTAAGCTAGCTGTGGACCCGGAGGGGTGGAGCCGGAGTTAATCCGAGGCCCTGGGCCCCTCTCTCTCGCAGATCCTTGGCCTCAAGATGTGTATTGATCCTTGGGGTGAGATACAGAGAGAGGTTTGGGTCAGACCATCCCCATAAAGCCAGAGGGCCACACACACCTGTGAGCGAGTGTGTGTGTATGTGTGTGTGCAGCAGCGCTAAGCTTAGATTAAGCTAAAGTTACCCGTCTTTCTCCCCTCTTGCCATGTCATTCAAACCCTTGATAGTTCTGCGGCCACACGGCACAAACAAAGCCCCTTTCTGGGCCGTCCTCAGCAGCGCCATCAGCTCTCAAACATCAAACATAGGGGATTATGGGATTGCGAGAAGTCCCGAGGGCGGAAAAAAAGACAAAATTGAGTTTTCCGAGGGAACCCCTTGGCCCGAGCGTCTTCTCTCAGGAGATTACTCTACAATTTGTTTCCTTTTATTCCGCCATTTTGTCGGACCTTAACTGCGCTAGCGTGGCCGTACTGTAATCCCTGTGCTATGACAGATTACACACGGTTTTGTCAACATGTCTAATAGCTGACTGTGAGGGAATTGCGAGGTCTTAAAGCACTTAACTCCTTAAGAAGGTTCACCCACACCTGATGCATGAGCACAATCACACGGCCAGATCCATGACGTGAATCACTGCATTGTGATTCACTGCTAATGAATCAGCAGAGAGTCATATGCAGGCCCAGATGAAATCTTTTTGGGCATTTTCTGTGCTTTTTTAGGGGGTAAAGTTAAAGTTAAGTTAAACATGGTAAAATGTGGTGAATGGAGGAAATCTTTTTCAGAATTCTTCCTGCTTTCTGTAAAGTTCTGCACAAGCATAATTCATATGGGTCTTGTCATATGCAAATACTATTCATTTATGCATCATGGAATGCAATCATTGCATGTTTGTCCTTGAGACAGTCTAACCTCTGTGTGAAAGTAGTTTCCGAGAAGAACATGAGATGTGACATTCACTTAATTGTCCTTGTTGTCAAATAAAGAGGAGACCAGTGACAGAGCTGTTGGAAGGACAATCATTCTGGCAGACTGTTATCAAAATTGTACATAAAACCGACATTAACTGAAATAAATCATATCCATTCAAAGTTCTAGCATATCACAGTCTACTATAACAAAAGAGTGTATGTTATTATTTACTGACTTTCATGCAACGGTGGGATGACCTTAGTTTGAATAAAGTCAGAGCGGATTAAGAGGAGGATGTGGGGTGGGGGTGTCTCCATGGCAACAGCAGGTCCAGTCTGGGAGGAAGGTTCAAAGAGTAACAGATGCTGTCTTTGTGGGACATGCGTGGAGGGTGGAGACCTTCTCCACTTTAGGGGCCAATGATCATATGTCTACTCGAAGAAAGTGTAACGTAACGTTTCCTCAGAAAGCCAGAGAAAACTGGGTCCCTAAGCATCATTTTGAGAGCTCAAATATGATAAATAAACATAAACTAACCATTGTATTCATTCTATAGCAGGTTTCCTCATTTCAAAATATTCTTATCCTCACATCACTAAAACACTAGTCATTGTGGACTCAAACACGTGAGTGCTAAGACCAAAAACCATGTTTGATCAGAACTAGCGGACATAGGTTTATTTTTGGCTAATAGGGAGTCCAATGGTATATATATCTAAACACACAGACATTATGATGCAGCACAATATCCTATATACACAATATACACTGGTTGCATGATGTAGCCTATTGGAATGCAGTTATATGCCCCTAAAATTTGTTTAGTTTAGTTAAAGTTATACTTTATTGTTCAGCCTTGGCTGAAAATTGGTCTTTAGTCTCTCTTTACATACAACAATAACAATACAAAACATTCACATAACACATCAAATTTAATACATTCACCCCTCCTAAAACACTGCAGTCCTACTCTTTATTCAAAAGACTTATTGCATATGGCACAAAGGTTTGTTTATATATTGCTTTAGTTGCATTCAGTGTCCTATAACGATGTCCAGATGGTAACAACTCAAAGGCATAAAAATTCATCATAAAATTAAAGATTTGAGGGCAAAAAAATCCATATGGGTTGTTGTCTTATATTTATATGATATGATATAGTTTAGCAATATCACACGAGGAAGAGTGCTGTTTTTTCCCAAATTTCTGCATGATTGCAAATATGATATTGATATCAATTTCGCAAAACGAAATAACGTCTCTGAGAACCTCAGTGGTGTTTCCTTACTGAATTAATCGGGTTTTAATGAATCGAGTGAGCCAATGATTCAATGACCCATTCATAAAGACTTGCAAGCAAGCCACTTGTGTCATTCTTGAATGAATCAGCCGTTTGAAGGAATCAGTTGAATGAACAACCGAATGACTCATTCATTAGTAATGATAACTTTCAACAAAATTACAGTTTTTGATGATTTAAATGCTATATTGCTGAGCAGAGGCATATCTTAGTGTTTTAAAATCTTTTAATGGTAGCGTATATGATACAGAAAAAGAAAATATATATTAAAAATTATGAAAATATTTTAGTTGTGTGAGGCATTGGAGACAAATCCAAAATCTCTTTCATTTTTAGAGTGTAAATAAAACACTACTATTATTTCAGAATAGAATAGAATTGTGGGAAATAGTTTACTGTGTTTACAAAATCCTGACTGGACTAAATCAGAACTGTCTGATAATAGTGACGCCTAGCGGTGAAAATGCGATATGACGTTAGTTGAGAGGGTTACGCCATCAAAGGACAATTTTAAGCAACATAAACCGAAATAACACAAACAGGATGAAGCTGTTTCTACCTAATTTGCCATTAATGCAGGTGGATTTTGTAGGAGTCTAGAGTTATCCATACCTCAGTACAAACAGTGAGAGTGGAGTCCTGCAGGTCACAAAAGATCTTCCTCACAGGTCTGAGGAAAAAATCTATTATTGCTTATTTTATTTATTAACGAACTAATAAGTGTTAACTGTTTCAGTAGATGATTTTATCATAAGCCGATGGCTTTACTTTGCATGATGGACTCATGCAAATTACATTTACTTTACAACTTTTTATATCACAACTTACCGTCCGTTCATAAAGTTTATGAAATCCAAAAGAGTGGTGAACGTTTCACACATGGGAACATCTATGTAACCGCAGTAAATGCTTTACTAAGAGCTGTTGGACCTGTAAATACAAACAGGTGGGGAAAATAGGCCTCAATGTTTATAAATGATTTGATAACAGTGACGCCTGCTGGTGAACCTGTGTTAATGGACTAAGTGCAAATGAGAAAAAATTTTTATATATATATATTATAAGAAAATATGCTCTTGTCAAGCTAAGGACACGTTATTCATTTTAACTTGTTTATTTGCACAATAAAAATTTAAGTTAGACATAGCTAGGTAAGTGAAGTTTGTTAGTTTACTTAGGAAGTTAGTTTACTTGAGAATGACAGTTGAAGTTAATTTATGAACTAATTTTATTTTTAATTAATTTCTGAACTGACTTATGTTTGTACTGTTGTTTTTCGTCATCAAAATTATGTCACAAAGGACTTTACACAAAAATGATTAAGCCTACCAATTACAACTATATTCCCAAACATGTGTGTTGTCTGAAATTGTTTGTTGATTAACAGAACAAAGAAGAAACACCTGAAATATTACCTAATTAATTTTTAAATGATTTAAAATTCATTTTAAACCAACCTAAAGTAATGCAATTGTCATTTTAAATGAAATATAATTGTATTGTATTTTATTATTGTATTTTTACTTAATTGTGATGCTGTGGAAAGAAAATAACTCAATATGATTTCTATTTTTAAGGGGGAAAAAACAGCGACCTTTTTATGCAGTTTATTAATTTGATGGAAGGAGATGAAGAGATCCACGTATCTTTCTTATGTTACTGGAGTTTCTTAAGGAGCAAGGGCGTCACCTAGCGGTGCTAGAGAGAAGCGCACGCCTCCTGCTGCCACCCGCCACAGGAAGATTGAGCTTGAGATTCGGATGCGCTTGGAAGGCGTGGTTTTATCTCACTGACACACCTAACATTCTTTCATTGATAATCCGTCGAGCGCGCCAGCTAGTGCACGAGCAGCGCGTCAATAGAGCACTAATCAAACGAAAATGATATAAAACGGACGCACACGTACCAGGTAGGATTTTTATGCCCGTGCATTCTTATCTGCAGCTCCTACAGGGAGACATTACAGTGGGGAATTTGCCAACAAGGTCAAGTTATGGGATTTCTATAGGAGTCAAGGCAAGGAATTGTGTATAAATGGGTGGGTTCAGCATTTTTTTGAAAAAAATTAAAAACATTTTTTTTTTCTTATGTAAAGCTTTTAATGGTTGTCTTAAGACAATGGTAAGCATAATTGACAAATGCTCACATTTAAGATATTTAAACCAATTCATATGGGTTTAATTAATTTATCATACTAATGCATGGTGCTAATTAGATTTTGTCTGGCTTTTTGTCCTACTACATGTATGTGTGTGTGTATGCATTTAAAAATACATTTTGCCCTATATATTTCAATCCAAGGAAATACATGCACATATGTCACATCTGAAGAAAAAAAATATTTGTTGCCTATAACACATGTGAACATATAACGCTGTTTGCAACATATATTTAGAGTATATTTAATCTCTTTTTGTCTTACTATATGTATGTGTGTGTGTGTGTGTGTGTGTGTGTGTGTGTGTAGGTCAGGCTTTGCCTATATTATGGGGGACCAAATGCACCCACAAATATTGAAAAACCTGAAATCAGCTATTCTGTGGCCAGTGATACTAGATAATGTTTTAAATTGTACATTAAAATGTAGAATGCAAAATGTTTGAAATTGAAATCGATTGAAAATCATTTAAAGGTAGGGAATTGAATATCATTAGGTCACTGTGTGTGTGTGTGTGTGCTCTCCTAACCCAATTTAAAGATGAGTTTGCTAATGTTTGCAAATGAAACGTGTCTTTGTAAATTACTGCATGCATTGCGATCTGTTGTCATATTTACAGCCCCAATCAATATGCATGACTTCACCCTGTTAAAATGGATTATTTTAGGGTCATTTGTGTAGTCTTTTGATAACCAGCTCCATGCAGAAATACTTCTAAAAATGCATTTCACTGCCTGAAGTCTGGATTTATGTATGTTCTTGTGAAATATTTGCTGGATAGAGAAATTAACATTTAATATGAGACAGTGATGCCAGAACTTAATATTTGATCGTGTGTTCCCCACCCCCATCCTCCTGCAGATGTGAGCGTCCTCCGAACGGCTCTCATCAATGACAGGTCACGATTTGAGACTTGGCATAATTGACTTTCATGCTTTTGTCAGGCAATTAGAGTGAATGTTTCCGCAGTGGCCAGTGAATCGCACTGGCTCAGTGTTTTGTTTTTTATTTATTTTGTGTGAGTGCGTGTGTGTGAGTGTGTAATACGGCTCACAGTTTTACACATGCAGAAAGGAACAAAAAGGAAAGAAATGTAAAATATCATACCCACCATACCATAATTATACAAACTCCCCCGAAAGCACTTTCTGCAGCAGACAGAACTGCTTTGTTATGCATTATAGTATAGGCATGGTAAAATATTAGTATATGCATGGTAAAACGTAATGGTTTTGTCAGTGGCTAATGTATATACACTGTAAAAAATTATTTTGCATTGTTAAATAAAAAGATTATTGGAGTATGTTTTACAAGAAAATACTATTTCAGTTCTACACTGAAAGAAATTGGTAATGAAACAACTTTCACAGAAATTGTGTCAGAAACGACAAGTAACATACTGAATCAAACGTGAAATTTTGAAGTAGAAAGACAGAAATAGTAGTTTCTGTAAAACATAAAACAGTAATCTTTAATTACAACTTCAAAAAAGCATTTTTTTACAGTTTTCAAAATTTCATGTCTTACTGTTTGTTTGTGTTTATTTATGAAATTTACTAGAAATTTCTAAGTGAAAATTGTTTTGAATAATTCATACACCATTTATTTATTGATTGAGTGTAACAGGAGCAGGGTGTCCAGTGTTCAATATATTTGCCATTTGCCAATATGTGACCCTGGACCACAAAACCAGTCATAAGGGTAAATTTTTCAAAATTTAGATTTATATATCATCTGAAACTGAATAAATAAGCTTTCCATTGATGTGCGGTTTGTTAGGATAGGACAATATTTGGCCGAGATACAACTATTTGAAAATCTGGAATCTGAGGGAGCAAAAAAATCCAAATTGTTTTTTTAACCTTAAACCGCATAAACACATTTCATTACACCAAATACACAAAATAATGTTCTTTTTAGCAGCATCATATGACCCCTTTAATGTCCTAATGATTTTTGGCATAAAAGAAAAATCAATAATTTTGACCCATACAATGTATTTTTGGCTATTGCTACAAATATACCCCAGCGACTTAAGACTGGTTTTGTGCTCCAGGGTAACATAGCTGTTGCTTTATGATGCTTGATGATAGTTCTGCATGCTCTAAAACCCTAAATGTATTTGTATTGTGTGCTTTTGGCTCGTATTGAAGTCTATGGCTTCAATGGTGAAACTAGCTTTGCTCAGTGTTGCTGAGGCTGATCTTTACCGTGAATCAGCTGTGGTTTGGGTCTGACTGTCAGATTTCCATTTTTGAGGCTCCTCGGGGCTATTTGAGTCACTAAGGTCAAACACTGAATAATTGCTCACCAGCTCTTCAGAATAGAGAATGATACAGAATATGGTGGGATGAATTCAAATACTGACTTAGTGCCATTATATACTAGTGAAATGATCATAAAATATATTGCCAAGTATCACAGTATATTGCTTTGATAGTGTAATTGCTTTATTGCTTGAATAAAATAAACTTTAAAATCTGATAATAGCCTTCATGTCTTAGTATATTGAGAAAATGTGTTGATATTATCAGTTATGCTGACTGCAGTGTGTTTCTGTTATGTTTGAAGTTATTATGCCAACAAACTACGTATAGGACCCACAGTTCCTTTGCTAATGAATAGGAGTATGGAGCATCATATACAAATGAAAATCACGGGGAAATTTTTAATATTTTCAATATATTGAATGTTAAATTAATTCAGCAGACTAGATGCTAAATCAGTCCTCCTGAATATTTAATAATATTCACTGTATATATGTCATAAAACTGTTTTATATTATAATGTACAAAGAAAATGTATTTTTACTCATTTCATTTACAGTTAATTAAATTACATTTAATTTATTAGGATAAACTATGTAAAATACAATTAAATCTGAAGTTATATTAAAATATTTTAGAATTTAATGTTTTTGTGCCATGTTGTCTGTATATTTGTGTTGGTAGTTTTTTTTACATTATATGTGCATGTGACAGACACAAAATTAAGCATTTTTCTAAATAATTTATAAGCCTGTGTTGTACAGAGTAATTGATGTCACAAAAACTGTTTCTCTATTGATGTAATGCTTGACTGAACAAGTAAAGGATGACACTGCTACGAGTAATGGCTTATGATGGATTAGTTGTACTTTTTGTTTCATTTTAGTGGGACTTCCTATTGAGCTGTTCCATACAGTTATAAATAACCTCTAACGTTTACACTGAATCACTGGAACACTTTACTATTTTTCTTTCTTATTATATTTTGTTTCAGTTTCTTGTGTTCCCTCATAACTGTGTATATGGTTTGCAGATAAATGACAGATTCTAACACAGTTTATTCATAATGATCATAAGAAGGCAGCAGTAGGTATATCTTCTCTTGTGTATCTAAAACTATTTTTATCTGTCTGCTCTAGGGAAGCCTTGGAGGGGACAATATCAGGCTTTCAGGGGGGAACCAAACTGAGTTTGGGATATATTGACTTTGAATTTTCATCACACAAAAAGGATTCAACATGGAAAATGTACCAAGCCCCAAAAGGACTGTCACTGTCCAGATGATGCCTCAGCTCGCTAGTATAGATGTGCTGGGAGATAAGGAGTTAAATGCTAACTGGGACATTGAGCCAAAGTTAACCTTAAATCAGGATTGCTCCTCTGGCAAAAAAACTAAACCAGATCAGGATAATATGCACCTAACGTCCTCCGTCAAAGATTCCCACACCACTCTTCTTGGAGGGACTGTCCTTGAAGACAAAAACATGT